ACTAGGAAAGACTAAACTTATTGCCCATTCAATCGATGTTGGTAATTGCCGGCCAATCAAGCAACGTCATTATCCTGTTTCACCTGCGATCGAAAAGATGATGTATGAAGAGTTAGATCGAATGTTGAATCTAGGAGTTATTGAGGAATCACTTAGTCCATGGAGCTCGCCCGTAGTTCTAGTTCGTAAACCTTGCAAAAATCGACTTTGTCTCGATAGTCGAAAAGTTAATATGGTGACTGTTAAAGATGCTTATCCTCTCCCTTTCATTGACGGTATCTTAAGCAGACTACCAAAAGCTAAGTTTATTACGGGATTAGATCTAAAAGATGCTTTTTGGCAGATTCCCCTGGATGCTGAATCTAAGGAAAAGACCGCCTTCACAGTGCCAGGTCGTCCGCTGTATCAATTTACGGTTATGCCTTTTGGTTTATGCAACGCACCTCAAACGATGTCTAGACTCATGGATAAAGTTATCCCGAATGAGTTGAAAACAGAAGTTTTCGTTTATCTCGATGATTTGCTGATAGTTTCGAACGAATTTGTTCATCATCTGGAGGTATTGAAATTAGTTGCAAAAAGATTTAGGGAAGCTGGATTAACAATAAATGTGGAAAAGGGCAAGTTTTGTATGGAAGAAATCAAATATCTAGGCTATATAATTGGAAAAGGAGTGATAAGAACCGATCCTGAGCAAATTTCTTCAATACGAGACTTTCCAATTCCGAAATCCATAAAAGAGGTAAGCCGATTTTTGGGAGTGACTGGCTGGTATCGTAAGTTCATTGGAGATTACGCTATGATTTCGACACCGTTGACTGATCTTACAGGGACAAAACGAAAGTTCCTTTGGACATCAGAAGCACAGAAAGCATTCGATGTGCTGAAAACTAAGTTAAGTACTGCTCCTGTTCTTCAGGAGCATTATGGCGTGCCCATGCAGATTGTTTGGCTGCGGACGCTGGAATGAATAAAATCTTGGAAAATTTGAGAAAATACTATTATTGGGGTGGTATGGTGATCAGTGTTCGTGACTTTATTAACTCTTGTGAAGCCTGTAAAGTTAACAAGCATCCTAAGCAAATTCTCCGACCACCCATGGGTAAAATGACAGACATAGACCGGTTTCTACAAAGACTTTATGTCGATTTTGTTGGTCCTTATCCACGCTCTCGTAGGGGAAATATCGGAATACTGGTAGTATTGGATCACTTTTCCGAATTTCCTTTTATCAAACCTGTCAAGCGACTCAATACTGAGGTGGCATGTAAGTTTTTAGAAGAAGACGTATTCCATACCTTTGGAGTGCCGAAGACTGTTGTAACGGATAACGGAGCTCAATTCGTTGCAAAGAAATTCAGATCTCTGCTTTCACGTTATAATGTGAAACAAATTTTCACTGCAGTTCATTCACCTCAAGCCAATGCATCGGAACGAGTCAACAAAACTTTAGTAACAGCAATGAGGTCTTATGTGAATGCAGATCAGAAGAATTATGATGAAGAACTGAGTTGTATAGCTTGTGCTTTGAGGTCGAGCATTCATTCTGCGACCGGTAAAGAACGGTATTATGTTGGTCAATATGGCTACAAACAGTAAAGCTTACTCCCTATTGCGGAAGCTTAAACCTCTGGATGATTATCCATTACGATTATCCCGTGAGGATTCAGTTCAGTTAACAAGACGATTAACTAAACATCAAAGAGCAACGCAATTTAACAGAAACGTAAAGAGCTACAACTTAAGATCCACGGTGGTGAATTTTGTTGAAAGCCAAGAAGTTTACCGAAGAAATTTTAAACAATCCAGCTTTGTTAAATGTTATAACGCTAAACTTGGACCGGTTCTTGTCAAAGCTCGGATACGAAGAAAAATTGGAAATTCCTGCTATGAGTTGGAAGATCTGCAGGGTAATGTTGTGGGAATTTATCATGCTAAAGATAGTAAGCAGTGACGGTTGTGATCATTTTTCGTTGTGAATCAGATTTGGACGATTGATTTCATCATTCCTCAAAGTCTGATCTTGTCTGGGGGGAAAATATAGGAAAACAAGTAGGCGTTGGTTTTATTTTTTTTTTTGGGATGTCAAGTTTTCTTTTTTGTTGGGAACGTTTTTTT